AGCGTCTGATGACCTGGGCCTCGGCCGCCGTCAGCCGGAGCCGCTCCCTGAAGAGGAAGGCATCCACAGTGCGGATGGTCTTTGCCATCCACCTAACTCAGTGGAGTACTCTGAGGCGGAGAAACGGATGCCGTGCTTGGAACAACTCCACCGAGAGCAATTACGCAGAGCTCCAGAAGTTTTCGATAGGTAGTCTCCCCAGTTCCCGGAGCTAGGCATAGTCCAGCGATGGAAGCGATGGAAGCCGACCAGCAGCTCGTCCCCCTCCGGAAGGTCGTCGACGGCGAACGCCATCAGTGTGATCCTGTCAATGAAGTATGAACTCCCACCCGCCTTTGAACCTCTTAAACAGCCGGATGTAGAGGCCGCTCGAGATTCTAGGGCAGGTGGAGAAGGCCTTCTCTAGGACCAGTTCTTACACGTGGTGCCGGCAGGCCAGCTGGAGGACGGGCCGATCCAGCTTCTGCTCGATAAGGGCTAAAGTACCGTTCACCAGCATGCTGTTCGCCGTCGTGGCGTCGAAGCAAAAGGCCTCAGTTCCGCTTCTCCAGTTCTTGGTCCCCCAGCGCTGTGAGCATGGCCTCCTGTGCTTGGATGGAGGGGAGGTTGGGAACGGCGAGGAGCTTGGCCACCCCAATCCCTCCCCCCTCCCCATCACCAGTACCTAGAATCGGTCGACGCTCCTTCTCTCGCGATTCAGGATTCGCGGTTCAGCCGGAGTCGTATCCTAAGTTCCATGCCGCAGTTGATAACAGGCTCACGTGTTCTTCACACATTACGGTTGGGCAGTTTGGCCCGGTCGAGGCCAGTTCACTGTTGGGGACGTCCGCTCGCCCACATGCACTTGGGAGTGTGAGACGACGTTTCTCTCATGGTCGCCATCGTCAAAGACGTTCCCTCCGTGTGCGCGCCGCAGCGGCCAGGTAAGTCTGTTGCTGGCACTGGCACTAGAGTCGGAAGAAGCGCCCACGGAAGAACATCCCGAAAGCACAATAAACCAGTGCAGCTCAATGCACACTCTCGCCTCTGCTTTCGCCCGCCGGCGATAGACTGACTCCAACTTCTTAACATTCTCTTTGACAGAAAAGGAGCATGTCTCAAGAACCGATAGAACCGTAGGGCTCGTCCTCCCTTTGGAACAGGAGAGACCGGTCACTCCTCACACTATTCAGAGGATATGACCTCCACTGTGAGGAGGCACCGGTCGAAGGCCAAAACAGGCCTGACATGGGTAAAACAGCCCAGATCAGACCCGTCTTGGCCTGACCTGGACTGGCTACGATCGGCCGGAAGTGATGGGATAAACAATTGTTAAACAAATAAAGGTCAAAATACGTCAGAAATGACGCTTAATGACCACATATGTCATTCCAAAAAGGTTTAAAGTAGTTTCCAAAAAGTTGGATTTTTCCCCAAAAATGTTAACTTTGACCTCAATTCGCGACCCCTAAATATCAATATTTTTCAAAATCATTTTGCACACATTATTTTTTACGGGAATGGAACCAGAAAACTACCCGCACGCATAAAAATCGGATGATATAAAATTCACCCTATTGCTAAGTGCCACCCTAATATATATATACCTATCTAGTACGCCACACGGTCGGCGCAGCGCAGCATGTGTGGGCCATAGAACTGCGAACGTGCACACTGCATAGGTAGTTTTAAAAGAGGCATTGCTTTGAAATAAATCGTTAAGGTTTTGTCCTACGTTTTTTGTAACTTGTTGTTCCTTGTCGTCAGTAGTTATTGGGATCAATCATCAATCTACTATTATAAATCTTAAAAAGTCCGCCGCCGTCGGGGTTACGCAGCCGGCGTTACTCCCAAAAAGGCTTATTGCGGCGCCGTCGATTGACGCAGGACGGTGAAATTTTGACGACTCGTGGGTCACGTAAATGAACAGGTCGTATTAAATTTTGGGCACGATGCGGCCGGGGGTGCGCCCGTGGCGCGTGCTCATGTGCGCCATAGGGTTAGCATTAGAATCGGCAAAAACAGGCTATTGCTCGGGAACGGTAAGGGCTACGGGGGTGAAATTTTCGCTGTAAGTCGATCGCGTGCACTCATTTGTCGTATTAAATTCTTGAGGGGGTGGGTTCAGCGGTGTGCACGTGATGGGGCCGCGACCGGCGCCGAGCAGAGGGCACGTGCTTTAGGCTCAGTTGTTCGCTGACTGGAAATAATCAGAGCCGGAAGGTCATTGACCTTTGACAACGAATACCGGCGCCGGGCACCCCTCGCCAAGGGGATTCGCCAGTAAATACGATAAATTTGTGTTTGCAATATCTCAGCCGTTTCTGGGCCGATTTAGCTGAAACTTGGACATTCGGTGGTAGTTAAGGGTAGTGTAGTGTAGGGCAGGGTAGGGTAGGGTAGGGTAGTGTAGGGGTAGGGTAGGGTAGGGTATCTCAGCCGTTTCTGGGCCGATTTAGCTGAAACTTGGACTGTCGGTGGTAGTGTAGGGTAGTGTAGGGTAGGGTAGGGTAGGGTAGGGTAAGGTAAGGTAGTGGGGGTAGGGTAGGGTAGGGTAGGGGGGTAGGGTATGGTAGGGTAGGGTAGGGTAGGTTAGGGTAGGGTAGGGTAGTGTAGGGTAGGGTAGGTTAGGGTAGTGTAGGATAGGGTAGGGTAGGGTATGGTAGGGTATGGTAGGGTAGGTTAGGGTAGGGTAGGGTAGGGTAGGGTAGGGTAGGGTAGGGTAGGGTAGGGTAGGGTAGGGACTAGGGTAGGGTATGGTAGGGTAGGGTAGGGTAGGGTAGGGTAGAGTTAGGTAGGGTAGAGTTAGGTAGGGTAGGGTAGGGTAGGTAGGGTAGGGTAGGGTAGGGTAGTGTAGGAGTAGGGAAGGGTAGGGTAGTGTAGGGGTAGGGTAGGGTAGGGTAGGGGTAGGGTAGGGTAGGGTAGGGTAGTGTAAGGGTAGGGTAGGGTAGGGTAGGGTAGGGTAGGGTAGGGTAGGGTAGGGTAAGGTAGGGACTAGGGTAGGGTAGGGACTAGGGTAGGGTAGGATAGGGTAGGGTAGGGTAGGGTAGGGTAGGGTAGGGTATGGTAGGGTAGGGTAGGGTAGGGTAGGGTAGGGTAGGGTAGGGTAGTAGGGTAGGGTAGGGTAGGGTAGGGTAGGGTAGAAGGGTAGGGTAGGGTAGGATAGGATAGGGTAGGATAGGATAGGGGTAGGGTAGGGGTAGGGTAGGGTAGGGGTAGGGATAGGGTAGGGGTAGGGTTGAGTTCAAAAAGGGCCCAACATACAAAACACTTGAACAACCCGCAACTATCATCATCCCTTACAGTTCAATTAAAAACAGCTACCCAAATCTACCCAAATAATAGAGCTAAAAATACAAGTCAATCACCCAAAGTAATGCACCCGTAACATAACATAAATCAAAACATACAGTTATCGCGTAAACCTGTACCTCTAGTCTACTATTATAAATCTTAAAAAGTCCGCCGCCGCCCACGCCCACGCCGCCGTCGGGGTTACTCCCAAAAACGCTTATTGCGGCGCCGTCGATGGACGCAGGATGGTGAAACTTTTACCACTCGTGGGTCACGTAAATGAACAGGTCGTATTAAATTTTGGGCACGATGCGGCCGGGGGTGCGCCCGTGGCGCGTGCTCATGTGCGCCATAGGGTTAGCATTAGAATCGGCAAAAACAGGCTATTGCTCGGGAACGGTAAGGGCTACGGGGGTGAAATTTTCGCTGTAAGTCGATCGCGTGCACTCATTTGTCGTATTAAATTCTTGAGGGGGTGGGTTCAGCGGTGTGCACGTGATGGGGCCGCGACCGGCGCCGAGCAGAGGGCACGTGCTTTAGGCTCAGTTGTTCGCTTAGAAAACTGAGTGAAAAGCATCAGAGCCAACGAAGGCCGACACAAGGCACCGCTCGCCAAGGGGATTCGCCAGTAAAAACAATTAATTTGTTTTTGCAATATCTCAGCCGTTTCTGGGCCGATTTAGCTGAAACTTGGACTGTCGGTGGTAGTGTAGTGTAGGGTAGGGTAGGGTAGGGTAGGGTAGGGTAGGGTAGGGTAGGGTAGGGTAGGGTAGGGTAGGGTAGGGTAGGGTAGGGTAGGGTAGGGGATTGTAGGGTAGGGTTGGGTAGGGGATTGTAGGGTAGGGTAGGGTAGGGTAGGGTAGGGGATTGTAGGGTAGGGTAGGGTAGGGTAGGGTAGAGTTAGATAGGGTAGGGTAGGGTAGGGTAGGGTAGGGTAAGGTAGGGTAGGGTAGGGTAGTGTAAGGGTAGGGTAGGGTAGGGTAGGATAGGGTAGGGTAGTGTAAGGGTAGGGTATGGTAGGGTAGGGTAGGGTAGGTTAGTGTAGGAGTAGGGTAGGGTAGGAGTAGGGTAGGGTAGGAGTAGGGTAGGGTAGGGTAGGGTAGTGTAAGGGTAGGGTATGGTAGGGTAGGGTAGTGTAAGGGTAGGGTAGGGTAGGGTAGGGTAGGGTAGGGTAGGGTAGGGTAGGGTAGGGTAGTGTAAAGGTAGGGTAGGGTAGGGTATGGTAGGGTAGGGTAGGGTATGGTAGGGTAGGGTAGGAGTAGGGTAGGGTAGGGTAGGGTAAGGGTAGGGTAAGGTAGGGTGGGGTAGGGTAGGGTAGGGTAGGAGTAGGGTAGGGTAGGGTAGGTAGGGTAGGGTAGGGTAGGTAGGGTAGGGTAGGGTAGTGGTAAGGTAGGGTAGGGTAGGGTAGTGTAGTGTAGGGGTAGGGTAGGGTAGGGTATGGTAGGGTAGGGTAGGGTAGGGTATGGTGGGGTAGGGTAGGGTAGGGTAGGGTAGGGTAGGGTAGGGTTGCGTTCAGTAACATCTTAACTTACAAAGGGCTCGAAGAACTCGCATGCATCACCATCATACTTTACAGTTCAATTAAAAGCAGTTACCCACTTCTACAAAAATCATACCAATAAAAATGCAAGTTTCTACACCCAAACTAATGCATCCGTTAATCATACATATCAAAACATACAGTTATCGCGTAAACCTGTACCTCTAGTCTGGTATAAAATAATAAATTTCTTGGAGGAACGGTGTATTCATTAAATAGCCGAACAGCAATCAGCATTTCATACTCGTACGTTACATGCAAGTACAAGTAGGCATACCGACACACATCGCAAGTCAACGACGCAATCCTATTCAGAGCAGCTGGACAACCCTCTCGATCCAGGGCACGTAGTAGCTGACCCTAGTGTACACCCCCGGCTTCAGCAGGTCGCCGCAGCCGACACCGAAAGAGACTATACCAGAGAGCTGCCAGCGTCCGTCGGCGCCCGGGCAGGCCAGCGGGCCGCCCGAGTCGCCCTGGCACGTGTCGGCGCCGCCGGCCAGGTGACCGGCGCACACCATCCGCTCTGCCACGAACCGCGACCCGTACAGCTCCGGCGCGGCGCACACGCTGTCCGATACGATCGGAACGCTGGCTCCGTGCAGGATGTCGGCTGCCGAGCTGGCCGCGTCCGGCAGACGCGCGTCCGTCTTACCCCAGCCGGAGATGTGGCACTCTTGGCCGACCGGCGACGGCCCGCGCGGCAGACACAGCGGCTGCACGTGCGAGCTGAACACCACCGGCCGGCCGTGGCGCAGGCGCAGCTTCAGCACCGCGATGTCGTCGGCGTCGCCGCGCGCCGGGTCCGCTCCGTAGCCCGGGTGACTGAGCGCGTTCTCCACGGCGAACGTCTGCTCGAATTGCTCGCTGGCGTCGCGCCGGTCGTGCTGGCCGAGTTTGACCTGCAGTCGAGTGAGCGCTGGTCGCAGACAGTGCGCCGCCGTCAGCACGAGCCGCTCGCTGATCAGAACGCCGCCGCAGTGGTGCTCAAAGTGGCCGGCGTTGCTGTAGACCTGGATCTGCGCCTGCCACGGGTAGGTGCCGTAGGTCACCACCTTGCCGCCCACCACGCGCCTGGAGCTGCTGCCGGCTGACAGAACGCGTGTGCGCGTGTCGAAGACAGGGTTGGCGTCGAGTGGTCTGCGCCCGCAGTCAGCGGGCAGCAGGGACGAGGGGCTGGCTCCCGGACGGACTGGGGTCGCGGCGCTCGCAGTCGGCTCTGTGGTGAAGCTGGTGACTGGCGAGCCCAGAGGAGTGTTCAGTCCAGAGCTGACACTGCTGTCTGGTTGGCTCTGAGCGGGTTCTTCATTTCCGATACCCAAGGAACTTATGAAACTTTCTCGCGACCTCACCCCTAATCTGACGATCACAGGAAGAAGCCTGTAATAGTCAGCGCTGGTGTCACGCACAATGCGAGGAGCGTCGGCGCACGAAGCGCAGCCCACAGTACACAGCTGCTGCGCTTGGTTATACGAAAACGAGTCACACTTGGGAAATTCGTACTCGTGCCTGTCGCAGTAAACTGCACATCCGTGCTTGCTGATCCCGGACAGTTGCATGGAAGAGACAATGGAGTATCCCTGAATGCGAGCAAAAGTCGCGAAGACGTTGTCGCACAGTGGCTCGTCCAAGCCGTAGGTACACTCTTCTTTGCCGTTGCACACGTAGCTGTAAGGCACGCATTCCGATGGCCCCAACGTCCGACACTCAAACATGTCATTCTCGCAGGCGGCGGCTCTGGTCGCTCGGTGCCTTGCTCTGAGTTCTCCATCGCTCTGTGACAGCGCCACGACCTGGGCGAACTCTCTTCGCCCGCTTGCAGCCGTCGGCCTTTTCTCCGGATTATCAGATGACGCCACTCCCGTGTTTGCGCTTCCAGAGGCCGTCGCTCCCGTGTTTGCGCTCCTAGGTGACGTCACCTGTCCTGCACCGTCTGCAGACAGCGTTTCCAGAGCCATCTCCGAGCTCAGCTCAGACGGCTGCTGCCTGACGTAGAGCACCCATCCCGGAGCGTCCTCGAGACCGCTTACACTGCGGAACACGCGGCAGCGCCTCCCAGCCGCGCTGTAGCCGAACGCCACACACCCTGCCGGCGCTTCAGTACAGAATCGGGCACAGCCGCGCAGGTTCACGTCATCCCAAACGAGCTCCTCGCTTCCACTGACGCTCACAGAGATGGCGCCAGCGCGTCGGAACGGACAGAGACTGGAGTCGCAGTGCAGCTCATCCCGGCCGGAGATGCAGTCTGCCATGCCGTCGCAGGCGTCCCGAGGATGGTAGCAGTCGTCCAGGGGATCGGCCGGGTCGCACAGGGTGGCCGGCGAGCAGCCTGTGCCGCCAGCGGGGAGGTGCTGTGACTCACTGCGAGTCCCGTTCGTCCCAGACTGGCTGGAGGATTGGTGGTGCTGCCTCAGCCAATGGAGCAGATCGGCGCGGGATAACTCCGGAGGGTGGCAATCTGGAATGTGACAGAGAATATGTTGGTTTTAGACACTTTGGCGTAAGTATGCGGAGCTCAAAGAAAACGGCCAAAGATACGTTGGTCGTTGAACGTTGAACACTGAACGCTTCATGTACTTTAGTACCTACCTAAAGGCATCAAATGGACAGACATTCAACCGTTATGAATAATCTCAGATTCAGATTTTTTTCTGGAACAGAATTTTTTTCAGATTCAGATTTTTTTCTGGTCAATGCCTAGTAACTACATATTGACACAGCTTATCCTAATACCTAGGGCAAAGTGTCATCGATACATCTCGCTAAATGATGTGAATAAATTCTTTATTTCGAAGTAATAAGATGCAAAATAATAGTTAAAGGGACCTTTAACATGGGGTTTGAGTTGAGATCGCCAAGTTTGCGGCGAGGTTCAGAAACCACTATCTATCTAGGTTGCAACCCCCGCGGCCTCTTGGTGTTGAAGAAATTCGTTCCCTTCGTTTGAAAATGGGCCTTGTGCAAGGCCCTATCTTCAACATGGAGCGACCGTTAGTGTGACGTCACCTCGTCTAGTCATTCTGATTTGAATGGGTTTGTTCGTTGAAAAATCGCTTAAAACTTGGTCTGAACTTTGTTGTGGTGCCTACAGAGTAAAAAGAATCAGGTTTATGACAGTAATGTGGCCTGGGGAAGGAGGTAATTTTGGGCTGTGACGTCACATATTTGAAAGTTTGTGTTTGGAATATGGGAAGCCTAAGATGTTTAATGAAAAATAAATGCCAGAACCGTGTTCCTGGTCATCCAATCTCTAAAGTCGGGCACAATTTAACTGGTTTTAACAACATTTTAGAAGGTGGGATAGTCCCTTTAATATGCAGATTTCAAATGCAACACAAAAGTGTGCTAGAAATTTTACAGTCAAATTTGATTACTCAAACTTTTATCTTGTTAGATCGAGCCCAAGCATTTTTTGTTCAAACGTTGCACTGAATTATAACACTACAACAAGGCATTCCATTTGATAGCCCCAGCTCCTGCGCCCTATCTCACCTGAAGAGTTCGTCACACCAATGCTGATTGCGCCACAACTGACTACCATGCTCGAGGTAAAAACGACCATTGTCCACCACTGCGAGGTACCCACCGCCATATCTACAACGTTGAAGTAAGTTCCCCAATCGCTGCACCGACGCCTAACCGCTCTGACGCGCGTTCTACCGACACCGCGGCGCGTCCAGAGCACACTGCGGCCCCTGTTCAGCGGACCGGAGCGGGTGCATTAGGAATATGAATGAGCACTTGCAACCGGCTGAAGCGGTGCAAGTACTGGTCGGTAGCGCAGGTGTGTGCAGTTGCACACCAGGAGCAAGCCGCGATCAGGGACTTCCCTGGCGAGCCTGAGCGATGCAGATGATGGGGAATGGGGTGATGGGGTGAATCCCCGTTCCCTTCTTCACTGGGCCAGCTCAGAATAAGCGGCTTTAGATAATGATTCACACTTCACTGCAGGCGATTGTGCAACCCTGTATCTTCCGCATGCCTCCGCTTTGGGCTGATTGATGTTTGGAGCCATAGGCGCGGGAACCGGGGGGGGGGGGGGCAGTGGGGCAGCTTGCCCCCCCCCCCGATTTCTGGGGCTGTGCAGGGGCGGTAGGTACCCCCACAACTTTGAGACACAATATCGCACTTTTTTGTAAATGTTTTATTTTTTATTGAAAAAGCCAAGGGATGAAAAGTACATCAGTGGCCTACAACCAGTGAGAAAAACTAGAATTGGGGTACCCTTGGTTGATCTTTTTATAGTGTGCCCCCCCCCCCTCCCAGTCTGAAAGTAGTTCCCGCGCCTGCACTGTTCGGAGCTGCGCAGCACATATTTCACAACGTGAACGGTTCAAGCTTTTTCCGTCTTAAGTTATACGCATTTCGAAATTCGACCTACGAAGAACGAACAATCTGCGTCCACGGGGCTGGAGAGTGCTGGGGTATTGCAATTGAGGGCCAGGGTCCAGGGACTCAGGTCGACTTCCATGGAGTCACCAACTTTCGGCTCAAAAGAAATTATGAAAATATGTTATAAAAAAATACTTTATATACTACTTATACTACTTATACTATATATACTACTTATACTTATACTACTTATACTACTTATACCATAGAGATCTTATATACATAGAGATGACATGCACTTGAAATCGTGGCGATTCAGTGGGTCTTTTTAAGCAACTTATTTTCAGCCAGTAGCGTGCCAATATGGCTGAGGCATTGTTAGTCTGAAGAAATTAATACGTAGCGAGTGAGGCAAGCGTAGTCTTTCGTAGATTAACGGAAATTTCTGAGTATGAGCGACCGGGCGGCCGTGCGGACGCTTTTGCGAGGCTTATATCTCAGCAACCACTAGACCGATTTACATTCGATGATTTTTCTAGGGTAGCTTCATTCCTTCTACCAAGTATTGGACTATTCCCGATGCATGTGGGTAACCCCTTATGCACGTGCCACGTGCAAAGCGAAGAGGTGTCAGTTTTGCAATTGTTGCAATATCTTGTTAACTACTTGGCCGATTGCGCTGAAAGTTGGTATGTAGGTAGGCACCCACTAGGCAATGCATATCCATGTGCCACAGTTGGGGTGCTGCTGCACGTGCGCACGTGCAGGGGTCGATTCCAGATCTCGAGAACGGCTGAACCGATTGTGCTGAAATTTGGTACATGGTTAGGGACCAGTTAGTAGGGTGCCGTGCAAAAGTCAGTTGTGACCCATTTTGCACGTGTGCACGTGCAGGGTGCCGCTTCCAGATCTCGAGAACGGCTAGGCCGATTGCGCTCAAATTTGGCATATCACTAGGGACCGGTTAGTAGGGTGCAGTGCACAAGTTAGTTGGCGGTGTCCCTCGAAAATTCGCTTGTCCAAGGCCCACCCTCTCGCTCGCTCCGTTGGTTGCCCCAAAAGGCGTTTTACTGGTTAAAAATATTGCTGTTTTTTCCTGGCTGATTTCATTCCTGAGGTAAGCAATGCAATTTGTAGCATGATTTCATTTTGTGTTTTTATTGAATTCCTTAAAAGCTCGCCTAAAAACATTCTCTCTCATTCAGGCTCTCACCAACCCGGCAGGTGGTGGACCTCCCGGCCACCTTCCGCGCGGTGGGGGGTGGGGGGCATTTTTTGCCCCCCTCCCGTATCTCCGAAACTACTGGACGGATCCGTAACATTCAAACGATGTTCGATAGCCCTGTCAAATTTGTCGACGGAACTCCAATTTCATTGACCTCGGGGTCACCGATGACGTCACAGGTCAGGTCAAAGAAGTTTCGCCCCTGATGAAGCTAGAGCGTCGCGGAAAAAACAAGCGTGTGCGCCGTTACAAGACGCAGGGACTGGTACCCGATTTTAAGGTCTCATGAGGCCAGGTCAAGTGACCAAGGGCCAGGGTTCAGTTTTTCATAACTTCGCAAAAAAAGACGGTCGGAGGGCCGCGATTTTGGCATCATCGTGTTTGCCTCGCTCAGGCGCGTCGAATGGTATACTTTTTGTTCGGGTGAGGTCAACTTGAGGTGTTGACCTCGGGTCAAGGGCAGGTCAGCTCCCCCAGATCACGAAGCTGGTTGAAAGAGGTCACGTTACATATTACTCGAATCGGCAGGTCTTCCTGAGTTTATTGGTGGCTTTCCCTACTCGCTAACTCAAATTGATGGGGAGTTACTGATGAAAAACTCTAATGACCCAAGTACATATATAACTGCAATGAAAACCGTAAGCCTCATGCTAACAATTATATTCAAAATAGGGCCATGAAAATAAGACATGTTGGCCAAACTGACAAACTGACTTTTGTCAAACCGTCTTACGGTTTTCATTGCAGTTATATATGTAATCATGAGCCTCAAAACCGCGCTTTCTTTAATCAATGACCCAAGTGACTATAAATGACGCCACGCAATGTCAACAATACAAAAGTGAAGCATCGGACCTTGCAAGGCGTGCAAGAAATCACGATTCCATGTGCTGCTGTTTGAGATAGTTCTCGGCGCTAACACAGCAGTTTTCATTTTTCCCCATTGACTTATACCTAATGGTGAGGTCACGTGGCCGACCTGACCTCATGTGATTTTTAGGGAAAATCCGAGATATATGTACAAGTTGTGAGACCTCTGGATGATACTACATCCTGTAAGTTTCATCTCCCTGTGAAAGTCCCTCTGGCACTGACGGTGACGGCGTTGCGAAGTTGCGACATCTGAGGACTGTGCAGAGGTTCACTTATGACGCCACAGTTCAGTGACCTGACCTGACCTGAAAATGCGGTTGGTGTCACAAGATGCGGCTTGGATCAAAGGTCAGGTATGCCAAGCTTCAGCTCTCTATCGCCTGCGTGTTCGGAGCTATCGTGAAAAACCCTATAGGGAGGTGGCACCTGCCATCCCCCACCCCCGGCGGACGGCGAGGGTTAATAATACATGCAGTACCTGATACGAGCATAAGGTTAAAACATGCCTAATTTCATTTCAATAATAACGCTCGAAAGCGTCACAGCTAGACAAAAAAGAAAAACTGTACTTAAAAATAAGCGGATGTGAACACAATCTCCTTGACCGAATCCTTACAAAATGCAAGTCACGGGCCATGGCACCCCAGAAAACCTTGCTTAAAAAGACCCACTGAATCGCCACGAAATCAAGTGCTTTAACATAGGCGTGTCATCTCTATGTATATAAGATCTCTATGACTTATACTACTTATACTACTTTTAAAGTTAAATAGGAGTGCCTATATAGGGGAAGGTGGGGTAAAACGGCCAGCTTAGGTTTGAGGCCGAATATCTTCCTACGCTGCTCTAGTAACTCATATTGTTTATAACTTTCTGAACGCTCAATCCTTCCTCTTTTACATAATATGAGCAAAGACTGAATTACAAATTAAAAAATCTAGGTAGTGGCTGCTCTGCACCCACCCATGCATACACCCCGACAGTTTATATCATTACGGCTTATTTAAACATTTATAATGTTAATTAGGCTGGATGCATAATACATGTAGAAATAAATCACGATGTTTTTGCGCAGGTAAATAGCTTTACGTGTGTTCGTATGCTTGTGAAAGTGCAACGAAAGTACGTTTAAAATGCAACCGACTAGATACATATGATGAACGTATGCGCCAATACGATTATATTTTCAACTGTTTCTCTCTAAATTCATAAATTTTTCATCGATTCGACAACTTTTGGATATCAGTTTTTCCTGTTTATCATTGCTGTCACACTCGCCTCTCACGCCTGAACCTCGCAGGCCAAGGTCAGATCAAAGCCGCTAAGGTCACGAAACTGTCGAATGAGAGATTCAGAGAGACCTACCGGTCTTTCTCAATCCAGCAGTGTCTTTCGCGACTGGCGACTCCACATAAGTTTAATCTAATCAAGAGATATTGACAAGAAGCTTCAATAACCCCAATTCGACCTGCAACCTAAGGCCAACAATACAAAAGCTTAGGCTGGGTCTCTCATTGGTGAAATTCCCGTGACACGTGCGGCTCACCATGCATGAGACAATGGAGAAACCCAGTTACCACTTACCAGCAAAAACGTTTGTGCATAACCTCCCCCCCCCCCTTCAGCAACCTTTCACTGCAACGATACCTACCTACTAAAATATCGGCAATCGAACGGGCATGAAACAACTGCCGCGACTTAAAACCATGAGCTAAGAACCGTGAACGGTTCAAGCCTCTGGGTTCAAGCTGCGTTCCGGCTGTCGCCCGGCCTGTGCCCCTCTCCCTCCTTTCCCAGCCCTCCACCCCACCCCCACCCCCAGCCGTGCGCGGTACGAGCCGTCGCCTGAGGCGTAATACGAGACAGTCCGTCTCTGAACCAATCAGAGGCCGACTTGACTGATGACACGGAGAGCAGTAGCGTATTGCACTGAATTGGACCACGCGGGGACAATGGAAATCTACCAGTATTCAGTGCGTTTGGAAGGAAAGTGGCAGAGTAGGCAGTGGCAGTGACGGCTTTCTGCGAAGTGTTCGTTACAGTGCAGTGGTGCGAGCAGTGAGGTGAGCCTTGCCTGAAAGTGAAAGCGGACGAATATTTGATAAAGTTAGACATTTGTTTACAGTGGAACTCCGTCACCATGGACACCAGCATGTGGTTGGACAGTGTGACAGTGAGTGGGTTCAAACTTGTGATTGGGTTTATTACAGTGCATGCACTCATAGGGCTGGACTGAGCAGATTGGGCCGGTCGACACAGGGTATATCGACACACAACCCGCCCTCCACTGACGACGTCCGTTGCCATGGCAACACGCGACTGGGCTCGGCTAGCCTTAGCAGGATCAGGTTTGGATCGGTATGGAGCCTGACCGCAGTCCTCAGCCCAATGCTGCAAGACATGACCTCGATTCGGTAAGTACCTACCTTACTTAACACTCATGGGCAGGGCTGCGGAGTCGATGGATTTTCGGCGACTCCGACTCCGACTCCGACTCCGGCTTTCAAAAACCAGCTCCGACTCCGACTCTGACTCCGGGCAGAATTGTCGACTCCGACCGACTCCAACACCCGACTCCGACTCCGCAGACCTAGCAGGGCTGCGGAGTCGACAGATTTTCGGTGACTCCGACTCCGACTCCGGCTCGGGTTTCTAAAATCGACTCCGACTCCGACTCCGACTCCGGTCACAACTGTCGACTCCGACCGACTCCGACTCCGACTCCGACTCCGACTCCGACTCCGCAGCCCTGCTCATAGGTGTATATCTTTCACTTTGACTTGAGCCTTGCATACCCTTATACATGCCTTATTACGAGCGAGCGAGCGCAGCGAGCGAAGTGAGTCTTTTCAATATAACGGAAAAATCTCAGTATGAGCAGCCCGGCCCGGCCCGGCCCGGCCCGGCCTGTAACGCTTTTGAGAGGCTTATATCTCAGCAACCGCTGGACCGATTGGCCTGCGGTCTTTTTTGCTGGGTAGCCCCATCCCTTCTACCCCGTAATTGACTACTTTTAAAACATTTCAGTGACCGTCGTGGCACGTGCCACGTGAATTGTCAAGGGTGTTCAAGCTGTTTTGCAAAAGTAGTGATTTTGAGAGGCTCATATCTCAGCAGCCGCTTGGGCGATTTTCTTGCGGTAATTTTTATAGGGTAGCTGCATCCCTTCTACCTAAGGTCGGATACTCTTGATCTATGTAAGT